ACCCCATCTTGCAAAACGCCCCATTCTTCCAATGAAATCTTGCCATCATAAAGGTGTCGTTGGTCGCATTTTCAGTTATCTTGGACCTTTGGAGAGAAATACGAGGACATATAGAGACCCTTGGTGCCGTAGTTGTACGATACGTATGACAATCCTCCGGGCTTGGAGTAATCTCGGCCGGGCCTATGAGCTTCAATTAGTCACTGTATACAACATTGAGTCGAAGGTTTCTACTCACAGCTTGGCAGTTTCGTGGGCGCCTCTGGAAAACTTCTCTGCAGACTCGTCCCATCCTACATTCTGCAGGGCCTGCGTGAAGTTCTCAATCGTCTGTGCATCGCTCCGTGACGTCTGACCCCATGGCAAGTGAGCCTTGATGTCAATCCGCTCTTCATTTTGCTTCAGCTCGAACGCGAAGCAGATGCCCTTGTGCAAGTTGTGCATGTCTCTGGCATCCTTTCTCTGGTTCGCGGCCATGCCTTCCGGCTCATCGAGAAGCAGGTGCCAGACCTTCTCTGCGTATTCGACGCCCTTCATTGTTGCGTCGTCGGTCTGGGTTCCGCCAAGGGTAAGGACGTCTGCAAGAACCGCCTTTGAGTTCGATGTTGTGCGGGCATATACTTTAACTCGGGCCTTGTGGGGGTCGACGCAGTCAATCGCCATCATCTCCACCGGGCAAGGCTCTTTGCATGTGGCAAGGTACTTCTGGAGCTTCTCGGATGCCTTGTAAAGCTTGTCGCCGCAGGGCTGCAGGTCGCGAATCATATCAAAGACCAGCTTTTCTGTTTTGACGTTGAGGGCGAAGTGCTTGAGGACGGGAAAGAAGTAGGCCTTCAGGAACCGCTGCGAGCGCTTCATATCGTAGGCGAGGAAAAGTTGTGGTACGCGTTTGACAAAAGCCGGCATCCTCGACCGAGCAAGAGCAGCCTCTTCAGGTGTGACGAACCATCTTCTCAAAATCTGCTCGTACCAGCGCATGTCGACTCCAGATGACACCTGCGAGAGTATCGGGATCATGGCAGCGCCAATCTCCCCAGCAAAAGGATCCTCATCCGAACCGGCGGAATCGCCAAGAGGCTCGAAGGTGTAGCGGATCACTCCGTCATCGCCTTTTGTGAAGTTCCACGATGGTTCGAACGTAGAACCGTCGTAAGTGAGCAGAGGTCGAACCTTGGCTTTGGGTGTCGGGAGGCCAAAGGAGGGCACCACCACGTCACGGAAGACGCGCAGGTGGTCCACCTTCTCCTCAGGTGTGTACCCCTCAGCGTTCGTGAGCAGAGTGTTCAGTAGCGGCGCGCATCTATCCCACCACCACCTGTGCTTAGGGTTTAGGGGCGGGTCAATAGGAATAGTGCCTTCGGTGACAGCTGAGGGACGAGCTTTCAGAGGTGACTGAAGGCTATCGTTAGTGGTGTTGAGGATTGCAGTTGGTGCCATTGTCAAAAGATCAACAGAAGTTAATATGCGAGAGTCAAAATATTTAGGTGGGCGGTGGGTAGGGTTCAGTTGCTCTCGGACGAAATGATGTGCAGCACGAGGTTGTCTTTATAACCTAGGCGATCAACATTCCATTTCGAGAGAGTCGCTCTTCAATGACACGGAGATATCCTGCGGACGTCACATTCCATGTCTGTCGGCTTTCAGGCGTTGACAGACAGGGAAATTCGTACGGCGACTATCGCGACTTCGGCAACATTGGCCGCGAGATACACTCGCGTTCCTCGCGTGATGAGAAATCGCAGAACTCAGGAGCCAGACTCTGGCCATGTCCGGTGCCAGATTGCGAAAACGTCACTACGACACGGCAACATCCTGGGCACTGCCCTTCTGGTTGCATGGGTATGCCTACGTTCGACCGACTGAAAGGGCAGAATTTGGCTGTTTGATCAAGGAAACTCAGCCCTTTCTTGCTGTCAAGTCCAGTTAAGCGTGACGCTAGAGGCTGAATCACGTAGATGGACATCTGGAACAGACAAGGGATGCCCTGCTATGGTGACGTGCTTAGATCAGGCGAAACACTATTTCATGATGGAGTGGCATTTACTTCGTAATCGAAACATATACGGGTACGAATATTCGTGTAAGCCCGTCCGTCACGGCCAATTACACCCACCGGATGACGGTGTACCCAAGTCATTTCTACGAATCCCACCGCAGCCGGGCTCCCTCAGCCTCCAAAGACGGAAGGAATATGCAACTCTCGAGCGGCTTTGAAATCAGATGGAACAAGAACAACAAACATTTTCGAAAAGCTTGAACTCCTTAAAGTGTTCCACAAGGCTTCGGGTATGCACCACCGGCAACTGGCGGTGGTGTCGAGATCACACCCTTAAGGCCGTAGGGATTCAGGTTCGGATATTCCCAACGGACTCGGCAGAGTTCGATACGTATATCGTCCCCCGAATTCAGTAATTTGGGTCGAACTGGATCCTCAGGGATCGGACCTCCTTCACGTGGATCATGTAACTTCAATCAAGTCATGTTCGATGAACTGTTCACATCTGTTTCTGGAACATCGCTGGCGGCGGCTTCGGGAGCCCGAACGTCCGCAATCGTGCGGTCTCCGTCATGAGCTCATCCTGAGCTACATAGCTTTGGAGCTCCTGAAAGACCCATTTTGGTCCTTTCGAGTAATAAAAGAGCTACATCCCTTCTGCTCATAGCACGTATCAACCATCCACTAAAACCATCCTAGACTCACTTCAAAGAGCTTCTACTCCCTCCTAGACCTCCCAGACTTGTCTCAAGAATATCTCCATCACACTATCATTGATACCACAACATGGCGCCTGGTCTAACCAGCACAGTCAAGGACACGAATGGCTCCAGCGGGACCGTTCCAGTCCCCAGATTCCTCCCACCTGGTGTCTCCGTCGAGAAGTTCCAAGAGTTCGCCTCCCAACTGCTGCAGACTGTCGGAAAGGAGAACCTCCAGATCATCAGCAATGATACAGTGCTGGACGATGGCGATTACCTCACTGTCGACTGTTTGACTCACGACATGCACCACCTCTATGAGCGGGAGGAATTCGTTGGCAGCGCTCTCATCCACCCCAAGAATGTCACCGACATTCAAGCTATCGTCAAGCTCTGCAACGACTTTCTCGTGCCCGTATGGACCTTCAGCAGAGGCCACAATGTTGGCTACGGTGGTGCCGCCCCAAGAGTGTCTGGCAGTTTGGTCATGAACCTTGGAACACACTTAAACCGTATCCTCGAGGTTAATGCCGAGGATTGCTACTGCCTTGTCGAGCCTGGCGTGACATACCTTCAAATGCAGAAGTATCTCAACGATAACGGACTCGCCGATAAAGTCTGGCTGGATTCTCCCGAGCTCGGCTACGGATCTATGATCGGCAACGCGTTAGATCATGGAGTGGGCTTCACACCTTACGGAGACCATTGGATGATGCATTGCGGCATGGAGATTGTTCTTGCCAACGGCGAAGTTGTTCGCACTGGTATGGGCGCCATGCAGAGCCCAGAAGGCCGTGCTCAAGCTGCAAAGGGCGTTCCTCCCCAAGACCAGCATCAGAACGAGTGCTGGCAGCTATTCCCCTACGGATTTGGTCCCATCAACGACGGCATCTTCTCTCAGAGCAACAATGGAATTATCACCAAGATGGGCATGTGGCTCATGCCTGCAGCACCGGGTTTCACTCCATTCATGGTCACCTATGAGAAGGATGAGGATCTTGCGGCGGTGGTCGACATCATCCGCCCCCTGCGCGTGGTAAGTAGTTGGACCTTTGGTCCTGCTCAATGGGGCTCGCTAACGAATATTTCTAGAACATGGTCCTTCAGAATGCTGCCAGTCTGCGTCACATTGCGCTCGATGCTGCCCACTACCATCCCCGCACAGAGTACACGGACGCAGGACTTGACGTTCCCCTCACTGAGGAGCAGCTTGATGCGGCAGCTAAGAAGGTCAACTTGGGACGGTGGGTCTACATCGGCGCTGCTTACGGACCCGAGCCCATCCGCAAAGCACATCTTGAGATCACAAAGAGGGAGATGACCAAGGTGCCGGGCAGCCGATGGTTCTTGCTTGAGGATCGCAAGGAAGAGTTCAGTACTCTTCACTGTCGTTCAGACACCATGCAGGGTATCCCAACGTGGGATGAGTTGAGGTGGCTGAACCAGTAAGTCGAAGCCATAGCCCGTGGAAAGGTGCGTCTCTGACAGTGAACCTAGCTGGATCCCCAATTGCACCTTCTTATCCTTTTCCCCAATCTCCAAGGTCGATGGCAAGTCGGCGCAGAAGCAATACGAGATGGCCAAGAAGCGCTTCGCCGAGGCCAAGATGGACTACTTCGGTATTCTCAGCATCGGAATGCGAGAGATGCGTAAGTTTCTCCAGCGGGTTCCCCGGCTCGAGCCGGCATTGAGATGGTGACTGCTCACACGTGGCCGCACAGACAACATTGTATGCATCGTCTACAACCGGGAGGATCCCGACGCACGTCGCCGTGCGCAGTGGCTCGTCCGGACCATGATCCAGGACTGTGCGGACAACGGCTGGGGCGAGTTCCGAACTCACGTTGCCCTGATGGATCAGATCGCGGACACCTACGACTTCAACGATCATGCGCTGGGCAAACTGAACCAGACCATCAAGGACGCGTTGGATCCCAACGGTATCCTGGCACCAGGCAAGAGCGGTGTTTGGCCCAAGAGTTATGACAAGTCAAAGTGGGCACTGGGCAAGGATTATATCAAATAGACTGGAGCTGATGGTTCATCGCGACCCGGCAAATTAGCACCTCATTTGTATATAGAACTGAGTATCTGCATGTAATTAACACTAAGTCCCACTCCGTTGATCTCGAATCCAATTTCCATATTGCTTACAGAACGACTATGCGCAACATTCAATTTCCCCCAAGGAGCCCAGCTCGTGCTCCCACTTTACGAAAACACTCCGGGTGCAATGCGGGTTGGCTTGATGATCCTGTGCTACCCGGCCCACATCCAACAGCTAGCGATTCTTCGCTTAATCAGCCCTGATGGTCTAGCGGTATGATTCTCCCTTAGGGTTGGTTGTCTTCGACGATTCACGTCTGGGAGAGGTCCCAGGTTCGATCCCTGGTTAGGGCCCATAGCTTTTGCAAATTTGAGCTTCATCTCTGATGGATTGTCAATTTTCATTTTTGCAAGCGCCAGTAGTTGGCACTCAATTGCCGATAAGTCTGCGCTGATGAGATTCCGAAGCCCTGTGAACCTTATTTGTATTGATTTCTTAATGCGTGTTCTCTGCAGGACCTCCCAGTGTCGTTTTACATTACGCATTCGAGTGTACCACACCTTCATAGGGCATTAATAATCATCGATGTAAACTGCGGTTTGCTGAAGCCATGTTAACAAACGTGGCTTGTCACAGCAGCGACAGGAGATATCGGCCATCCGCTCGATCTTAGGTCCATTGCGAGACCGAAACACTGGAGCACGTGGACATAGTTTCAACGGGCGATCAACGTTTTCCGCACCTCCGGTGTCCGTACACGGGCCGAGCAAACATGAGACGAAAAGCGGCATCTGCGTTGTTGCGACAAGGATGCAAGCTCATTAAAGCTTCGACATTCTCCATGCAAGCTTTGATAATAGCCTAGCATAGCCGCGAATACGGATCTGGTCTGGAGCTTGTCGCCTCGGACTGAGATACGGTGCCGAATCGGATACCTCGCGACGCGTTAGAGCTACGAAAGGGACTCATCTGATGTTTCCAGACCAAAGCTTGCAGTGCACCAGCTGCTTAGCATAAGAACTGGACGCGTCGTTCAATTGTGCTCTACTAATCACACCGACACACTCCGTCCTGCACTTACACAAATTGGTGTCAATAATATTTGCCGAAATGTCTAACGGGACCACGAACAAGACCATCGCCCTCGTCACAGGGGCAAATCAAGGCATCGGCTATGAGATCGTCAAGCGATTGGCCTCGGAAAATCCAGACTATCATGTCTACATGACCGGCCGACGAAAAGACGCCATCGAGAAGTCTGCCTCAGAGCTTCAATCAGCCGGCTTGGATGTTGAACCATTGGTCCTCGATGTCACTTCCGACGAGAGCATAGCAGCTGCTGTAGAGCAAGTGCAGAACAAATTCGGCTACATCGACGTCATCGTCAATAACGCTGGAATCAATCGCGGCAAGGCCGAAGGCAACCTCCGGCAACGACTTCGAGAGGTCTTTGACACAAATCTCTTTGGAGCAGTCGAGGTTACAGACGCTTTCACACCGCTCTTGGAAAAGTCTTCAAAGACTCGACGCGTCGTGTTCATAAGCTCGGGGCTCGGAAGCCTCGCGGTTCGATCGGATCCAAGCCTGGGACCCAAGCGCGACTACCTTGAGTATGGGGCCAGCAAGGCAGCTCTGAACCACGCGACCTTGACATTTGCCTCTCGACACCACGGCGACGACTCATGGAAGTTCAATACATGCTGCCCCGGCTACTGTGCTACTAGCATGACCGATTACTCCGGCCCAGACGAGGCGTCACTTGGGTCTATTCGGGCTGTTGAACTTGCGACATTAGGACCTGATGGCGTCACGGGAACGTTTTCGAATAGGCAAGGGCCGTTGCCGTGGTAAAGGGATCGAAACTCTGTGGCTCTACCCTCAGTGACAAGCTTCAAATACACAGCTGAAAGCTAAACAATGAGCTGATTCGCGATACGTAGCGGGTTGATGATGAGATTTGCTTTGGGTGGATACCTCTTGGTGGCTTCATTGAAAGCCAACCAGTAGACAGATAGTCCTTAATACAGACTTCAGAGCGATTCAATGAGGGCTTGACCTTATTTTCCACCGTTGACCGTGCCCTAATCGCTGCTCAGGAATCCAGGTCGTGTTTTCAGACAGGACCGTCAATATTGCACATCATTTAACCAAAAAAGGCCTAGATGTTGTTGAGATCGTGAAGCTGACAGGAGCTGCATCTGCTGTGGAGTTGATAACGCAATCTGTGCCACCGATACTTGCAGGGTCTCTTAACACCAGCGTTGATTGGGCTAAACGCACGCTTGGATGTCACACAAGGGCGCGTAAAGCTTCCCCGCATCTGACACGTTTATTGGCTTTAATGGTGCTCAAAGGCCCTCTCTTACTTGGCATCAACAGAAAAGAAAGATCCCAAAAGGACTCGGCATCAAGCTCGACATTTACTCGATCCACCATGACTGAACTTGAACCCACACGACGTCCTTTCAAGGGTTCATGCCACTGCGGGGAGACCCAGTACATCGTATTCCTTACCTTCCCTCATACTCTGCCTCCACCTCGCCCAACCAAAGAAAAAGGGCCACGAGCCCATCAGGAATTCTACCGATGCAACTGCACCACTTGTCAGAAGGCAGGCTTCTTCCATATGCGCCTCAACTCGGCCCCAGAGGATTTCATCCTGCTGCATCCTTTGGACCCATACAAGGATCTTGGTGACTACACAGTCTACCAGAAAGACTTGCACTTTCTCTTCTGCAAGACGTGCGGGATGCGGTGCTTCATTCTCATGGGACAAGGCGAGGTTACAGAGGTCGATTTGGAGGCTCTCGGCGTCAAGTCCGACGGTGAAACCCAGGGTAATAACGTCGACGGCAAGAAGCTGACAAAGGTTTGGAGACCTTCGAAAGACAGTTGGAAGGAGGGCAAAAAGTTTGGAAGTTACCTAAGCGTCAATGGCTACTCTGTCGATGCTGGTCAGGAGGGGTTCGACTTGCGTGAGATTACCGAAAAGAAGTGGGTGGGATACCTCGATTGGCTGGAGCTGAGATCTGAAGGGTGTCAGGGGACTCGTTTCGACCGACCCTGGGAAGGAGGCGCTTATTGAGCCGAGTGGTGGAATGATTCTTCAGCAAAGGATTCGGTTGCTAAGGGTACTGTGGAGTTAGATAAATGACGAAAAAATCCTGTTGGTCTTGGCTGCTGGGCCTTCGAAGAAGTTGATAAGACCGACATTTCCCCCGTGTCCATTGAAGGATGCGAAACCATGATAAGACTCTAGGTTTGACTGTTTCGCCCTCGTACAACCGCCTCGCCTTCAGCTGGGAGGCCTGATAAGCCGTAGGATTGACCCCTGCTATCTGCCATCTCAAGTTGCGGCGGTTAAGACTCCGCCCGAGTTGCGGGGCCGCACGACGTAATATCGATGCGGACGTCTGCGGCCCGCATCCGGTTGCTTGACGCGGGGTCACCGTTCCCCGCGATAACTCGGTGGAGACCGTTAGTTAGTTGCAGATAACACCCGTGAACCATCGGGTTAATGCAGTCAGGTGTCCATCGGGCAGGGAACCGGCAGAGAGCTGAGGCCGCTTGTCCGCCATCCTCCATTATCTCTGAGGCAGAGCCAACAGAACATGGGCCAGTAATTACGGACAGCTATCTCTGGTCAGCCTACTCAGGATTAGATCCATGCTATTAGCTACTGCATGTAGTCAGCCAAGGACTCGTCCATGTTGATATAAAACATGCCCGTCATCCGTTCCAAGGTCGTGGAACCAAAGAGAGTTCCATGCTTGGTCAAATTCAAAATTCCCCAGATTTTCAGCTGAATTCTTCAAACATTCCCTCCTTCACTTCCCAGATCCCGAATCAACATGACTGTCCGCACTGTCAAGGTCGCCTGCACCCAGGCCGAGCCCGCTTGGGTCGACCTCCCCGCTGCCGTCGAGAAGACATGCAAGCTCATCACTGAAGCCGCCTCCAACGGCGCCCAGCTCATCGCCTTCCCGGAGTGCTGGATCCCCGGCTACCCATGCTGGATTTGGTCGCGTCTCATCGACTTTGACCTCAACGTCAAGTACATCAAGAACTCCCTTGCCGTCGACTCCCCGGAAATGGGCACCATCCAGGCCTGCGCAAAGGCGAACAACATTGCCGTGTCTCTCGGCTTCTCTGAGAACGACAACAACTCTCTCTTCATCGCACAGGCCCTCATCGGCCAGGACGGCGAGATCAAGGTCCACCGCCGCAAGATGAAGCCCACGCACATGGAGCGCACCATCTTCGGCGATGCGTCCGGTCACTGCCTGAAGAGCGTTGGCGAGCTCCCGTTCGCGCGAGTCGGTTCCCTGGCCTGCTGGGAGCACATCCAGCCGCTTCTCAAGTACAACACTATCGCCCAAAAGGAGGAGATCCACGTCGCAGCGTGGCCGAGCGTTACCCCGCATGGAGGTGGCCCCGATATGTGGTCCATGAGCGCTGAAGGTTTGTGACGATCCCACCAATGACTAGCCACTTAATTAGCTAGTGGTTCCGAATTATTGGCACTAACTAACAACCCGAGTAGGATGCCAAACGCTCTCGCGCACGTATGCGATTGAGTCAAATGCCTTCGTGCTCCACAGCACTGCTCTGATTACCGAGAAGGGTGTTGCGGCACATGGCAGCGCCCAGGGTGCCATCATGAACAGCCCGGGCGGCGGCACGTCGGCCATCTTTGGTCCTGATGGCCGTAGGCTTACGGAACCTGTCGATGACACTACGGAGACGATTCTGTACGCCGATTTGGACATGGACATGATCCACAGGACAAAGATGTTTGCAGACTGCACGGGTCACTACAGCAGACCTGACCTTTTGAGACTCTCTGTCGACAAGGAGATCAAGGTTGTCCTTAGGCTGCACAGCGATGCTGACAAGGATTCAAAATCGGAAGAGTCTGTGGTGGTGTTGTAATTGCTTCAGCGGGAATGTTTGTCAATCGGCATGTATGATGAGTTCGGCACGTAATTAATACCAACATTTCGCGTTCAATGGATCAAATTTCAAAGCTGTCAGGGGGAGGGGTTAGATGTTGGCGCTGATATTTGCGTTTCAATTTCTCTGTATCGGTGATCATAATCGTTCGCTCGGTCTATACGCACTTTTCGTTCCTAGTCTTACATTGAGTTCCCCGAAAGCCAATTAAAGTCCTCGCAATTCGCTAGCCCTTGGAAAGCCTGGAAGATGTCAACAGAGCCAACCGGATTATTGCGGTCCACGCCAAGCCCAGACACGTCCAGCGTCCCCAAAGAAGCGAATGAGTTCATGTCTAGTGTCCCAAAGTCTACTGGTGCCTCCGAAGGTGCGGCCCCATACTTGTCCCATTCATACTCGA